CCGGGACCGGCCCCTGCTCCAGTCCCGCCCTAGCTCCGGTCCCGGTCCTGTCCCGGCTCCGGTCCCAGCTCCGCTCCAGCTCCCGCCCCGGCTTCAGCCCCCGCCCCGGTCCCGGCTCCGCTCTGGCTGCAGGCCCCGCTCCGGCCCCTGCCCCGGCAACCGCGCTGGCCCCGCTCTGGCTCCGCTCCCGGCCCCGCTCCCGCCCTAGCTCCGGTCCCGGTCCTGTCCTAGCTCCGGTCCCGGCCCCGCTCTGGCTCCGGTCCCGGCCCCGCGCTGGCTCCGGTCCCGGCTCCGCTCCCGCCCTAGCTCCGCTCCCGGCCCTGTCCCGGCTCCGGTCCCGGCCCCGCTCTGGCTCCGGTCCCGCCCTAGCTCCGGTCCCGGTCCTGTCCTAGCTCCGGTCCCGGCCCCGCTCTGGCTCCGGTCCCGGCTCCGCTCCCGCCCTAGTTCCGGTCCCGGCTCTGTCCCGGCTCCGGTCCCGGCCCCGCTCTGGCTCCGGTCCCGGCTCCGCTCCCGCCCTAGCTCCGGTCCCGGTCCTGTCCCGGCTCCGGTCCCGGCCCCGCTCTGGCTCCGGTCCCGGCTCCGGTCCCGACCCTGCTCGCGCAGACCCGCAGTGGGGGGGTGCAGGGACACAGGCACCAGGATGGGGCACAGGGACATGGGCACCAGGAGGAGGATGTGGGCACAGAGATAAGGGCACTGGGATAGGGGCCCTTGGGATGGGAATGTGGCCGTGAGATCGTGGGTGTGGGTACAGGAATGTGGGCACTGCAATGGGGACGTGGGCACCGGGGTGGGGATTTGGCACCGGGGTGGGGATGTGGGCACAGCGGCACGGACACGGGGACACAGGCACCAAGGGGAAGATATGGGCACCAGGATGGGGGCACCAGGATGGGGACATGGGCATGGGGATGTGGGCACTGGGCACCAGGAAAGGGATTTGGGCATCAGTACAGGACAATGGACGCAAGATCATGGGCATGGGCATGGGGACGAGGGCACTGGGGTGGAGCAACAGGCATGCAGAGGTGGGCATGGGCACAAGGAGATGGGCACAGGGATATGGGCATGGGAACAATGGGCATTGGGACCTGCACACAGGGATGGGGACAAGGGCTTGGGCATGGAGATATGGACATTGAAATGAGGATGTTGGCACAGGGGCATAGACACAGGCATGAAATGGGGACAGGGACACAGAGCAGGCCCGGGGCTGTGGGCACAAGGATGGGGTGACACGGACAGAGCCTCTGGCCTGGGGATGGGGAGATGGGACTGGGGACATGGACATGGGCACACAGATGCAGCCACAAGAATCACAGAATGCTTCAGGTTGGAAGGGACCTCTGGAGATCACCTAGTGCAACCCCCCGCACACGCAGGGTCACCCAGAGCACGGGGCACAGGGCTGCGGCCAAGCGGTTTGGAAGATCTCCAGAGAAGGAGACTCCACAACCTCTCCTGGTAACGTGGCGGCCATCAGCCATCCAACATCAAAGTCCATGCTCTGCCCTCCCCATCCCACCCATCCTCTCCCTCGGGATGCCATAGGCTCCAGTACCAACAAGGACACAGACATGAGACAAACGGATGGGGACATGGGGCCAGGGAAGCAGGGATATGGACACAGGGATCTGGGTACGGGAGACAGGCATGAGGACACGGGCATGGAGACATGGAGGTGTGGACACAGTCCCCCGCAGGGACATGGGGACAGGGAGCTGATGACAGACAAGGGGACATGGGTGCAGGGACATGGGCGCAGGAACTAGGATAAGAACAGAGGGGCATGGACGCAGAAAGGGAACATGGGGACAGGGACAGGGACACAGAGACCTTGCAAGCATGTTGGTGTGGACATGGGGGCACAGACATGGCAAAACCAGAACAGGGACATGGGCACGGCAGCATGGACATGAGGACATAGGGACACGGGCAGGACCATGAGCACAGGAACATGGTGTGGGCATGGGGATGTGGGCATGGGGACGTGGGCATGGGGACATGGGCACAGGGACATGGTGTGGGCATGGGGACATGGGCATGGGGCTGTGGGAACAGTGGGGAGAGGACCATGAGCACGGGGCATGGGGACATGGGCATGGGGACATGGGCATGGGGATGGGGCTGTGGCACTGGGATGCAGACATGGGGACAGGGACATGGGGACATGGGGACATGGGCATGGGGACATGGGCACAGGGGCTGGCAGGAGCCGCGCGAGGCGGCGGTGGGGGCCACATTCCTGCCGGGATGAGCGGCACCGGGATGCGGCGGGGGCAGGTCCGGGAGGGATGCAGGATGTGCCCCATGGCGCGGGGGCCGCCGGGCGCGCTCGGCCGCGTGCCGGAGCCTTCGCCCCGGGAACCGGGCGGCCGCGCCAATGAGCGGAGCCGCAGGTGGCGCCGGGGCCGCCCGCTCCGGCGGGATATAAAGCTCCGCGGGATATAAAGCTGGGCGGCGGCGGCAGGACCCGGCGGCGGCGGCAGGACCCGGCGGCGAC